CCCCGTAAACAAAATGATAGCAGATTTTTGGTAGACTGGCAACAGATTTCATCGAAACATTTCTGCAAATTGGCATCATCTGCGTCCGCATTCAGTCTGCGTTCTGCTGCAAGACTTTGCTGACATGCTCGGGCAACTGCAGATTGTCGTCAGGAACCGAGCAGGATCTGCGCGGCAGTTTGATGGCAGATTGGTGGTAAAAACTGAGTAGGATTTGTCGTTTAATTTATATTTTTACCGTTTTTGTTCCTTTCATTACAAAGATGAAAATAAGTAAGTAGTCCTTTAAGATTTCTACGCACTCGATACACAAGAGTGCAAGACAGTTCATTTTAGCACTTCCAAAAGATGACCAAAATCTCACGTGGATGTGTTAATTTATAATACCGCGTGCGGGGGGTGTTCTTTTTACGAGAAAGTGTCATGCCGCGTGTCCAGGTAGAGGGAACGTTACGCTACTAAACGACAAAGTTTGCTCTGTTTTGTTACCAATCTACCGACAACTTGTGTCAACAAATTCTGCTCGGTTTCGGCTGCAATCTGTCGCCATGTTGCGTGAGCAGGTTCTGCTGAATGTCTGCCGCCAATCTGCTGTCTAAACATGTTATCAAGCTTCATTATATATGTATCTGTTGATGTTCTGCCCACATTATGTGATATATCAGAGTCTGTATAAAATTTGTAGTCTTTCTGTCGACAAAATTTGGAAACAGTGTTTTCTGAAATCTGTTCTCTATAGGCTGCCTGATCAATTAACCATGAAAATAATTGCCTAAAGAAATATTCGGTATTGCTTTCCGTGAGGTACAAACCATTTGTGGCGTCTATATTATTCATCCCAAACCCTTCCGCTTCCGTATAACTAACACCCATGTACACTCCGGTACGTGATCCTCTCACACTCATGGGATTGACACCAGCATCAACTATCGCCTCGTACGTGACTTCTAACAGCATGCGTGCCTGTGGGTCCATTATATGTGCCAGCTTGGGAGGTATTCCGAAAAATGAGGCGTCAAAGCTACTGAGGTCCTTGATTTTGCCATATTTGGATAATAACTCGTGCATATCTGCTGACCAACGACAATCGTCATCAGAGACCATGTCTATTCCTTTCATGAGATTCTCTTTAAATTCCTCAATATTAGACGATCTAGGCAGGCGGCCTGAAACAAACGTATATTTTTCAATATATTTTGTTCTCACGATACAGTCATTCGCGACCGACAATTACCTGATATGCCTGTGATGACGATATCACCGTCGTTGGAATACGGTATCCCATTTCCAAACGTGGATTCACGCGTCGCGGAACTGTTGACAGATTCAAATTGAACAGGCATCTTACCGAAGAAGATCGCTATCG